TGGGATACCCTGGCCCAGCCAGCTGGGGGTCCACCGCATGATATATCATAATAGATGGCACCTGAGGAATGACACACAAGGGTGACCTCCAGCCTCCACATACACATACAGATATGTGCATGCGCACACACATGGAGAAAGTTAAAGTTTAAGGGCAAAACTAACATAGTGATACAGGCCTATAATACCAGAACTTGGATGGTTGAGGCAAGATTAGGAGTTCGAGGTCACCTTCAGCTAGATACCAAGTTGGAGGGCAGCCTGAGCTTTGTAAGACCTTTTCTCAAAAGAAAACCATTTTTAACTGGTCTAGAAATGGTCTAGAAATACTGGCAAGTTCAAACTAAGTCATAGGTATGACCATGTCCTATCTTCTAAAACAAACAAACAAACAAACAAACAAACCTAGAACATGGCCATTAGATTTGAAGACCTACAAAGACTGAAACCAGTGCTATCTTCCCATCTTCCCATTAATTTATTGTTTATTTTGTTTGTTTGCTTGCTTGGGTTTTTGGTTTTGGTTTTGGTTTTGTTGTTGTTGTTTTGTTTTTCCGAGACAGGGTTTCTCTGTTTAGCTTTGTTCCTTTCCTGGAACTCACTTTGTAGACCAGGCTGGCTTGGAACTCACAGGGATTCTCCTGTCTCTGCCTCCTGAGTGCTGGGATTAAAGGCGTGCGCCACCACCGCCCTGATTGCTTGTTTTTTTTATTGTTGCCTCTCCCATAGAGAAGGCTGCCCTGAATACCCCACCGCCCTGCCTCCACCTCCCAAGTGCTCAAACTAAAGGTGTGCACCATCATACCCACTATTTGTTTTGTTTAAAATTGTAGCTGTTTTTGTTTGTTTGTCTTTTGAGATAGGGTCACACTAGGTAGCCTAGCTTTCTGGGAACTCACTGTGTAGACCAGGCTGGCCTTGGACTCACAGATATCCTCCTGCCTCTGCCTCCTCAGTATTGGGATTAAAGGTGTGTGCCACACTCAGCTGGTATTTTGCTTTTTGAACTAGCATCTCACACTGTAACAAAGGCTGTCTCGTACTTTACTGTGTAGCCCAGCTTAACCTTAATATCTCAGCAATCCTCCTGCATCAACTACCAAGTGCTAGAATTACATAATTCCACTACCTGGCCCTGTTGTAGAATATTACTTTAACTATGTGAAAGTGTGTTACACTTGTTTAATTATGTAAAGATGTGTTACATTTGTGTATGTTGTAGAATATTGCTTTAACTAGGTGAAGGTGTGTTACACTTGTTTAATTATGTAAAGATGTGTTACATTTGCGGAAAGTTACTTTAACTATGTGAAAATGTGTTACATTTGTTTGTGCTGCATTTGTTTAATTATGTAAAGATGTATTGCATTTGTTTCACCTTGCCTGACTAAGGCACCTGATTGGTTTAATAAAGAGCTAAACAGCCACTAGCTAGGCAGGAGAGGGATAGGCAGCGGGGCTGGCGGGCAGAGAGAGTAAGTAGGAGGAAAAATTTAGGCTCCAGAGAGAAGAAGAGAACGAGGGGGAAAGAGAGGGACATGCCCGGGGCCAGAAGCCAGGCATCTGCCAGCCAGACATGGAGACAAAAAGAAAGTAAGGTATACAAAAAGAAAGAAAGGTAGAAAATCCCAAGGCAAAACATAAAGAGAAACAGATTAAAATAAGCTAAGGAAGAGCATACAAAACTAATAAGTATCCGTGTCATGATTTGGGAGCTGGTTGGTAGCCAAAATAAAAACCCTGCTACTCAGCCCAGCTTCTTATCAATGTTAGTTTGTTTGTTTGTTCTGAGACAAACTCTTTGTAGCCTAGATGACCTTAAACTTACTATGTAGCTGAGGATGAATTTGAACTTGTGATCCTCCTGCTTCCATCTCCCAAACAGAATTATAAGTGCTAGGTGTGTGTCACCATGCCTAGCTTATTGATTGCTAATGTTAAAAATCGGAAAGTGAAGTATCCTGCCTTCCTTATTTGTATAGCCACTGACATCTACTTGCTTCTAACCCTCATGGGACAGAGGTTGACTAGATGTTCTTTTTTTCTCAGGCATCTTTAGTGTGACTTCAACATCTTCCCAGAGCCCACACATGGCTCTCTATCTCTACTTGGGCTGCCAACTGTGACTACAGTGTAAGAAATCACTTCTGTGTCTGCTTCATTTCATAGACTGCTTCTGAAGTAACGCTCCATCTGTATCACATGCATCCATTTCTTCATGGAGAACCATGAGATCACCACACAAGAAGACAGTCTGCATCCAGCTACCTTTGCTACTCTTGCCTCCAGTCTGAACAAAGGGGCTCTATTACCTTTAGTTTATGCCTACAACACCTTTCTCTAGTAAAACTGATTTGATCTGTAAACAGCCCTGTTTTTAGTTAGTAAAAGGCTATGATTTGTAATGATTGTAATGACATATCTGAATAGATATATCAGACATCCTGTCTGTTATACAGATCATTTGGCATAATAAATGCAAAAGCAAATTTGAGATCCTTATTTAAGCTGGTTTGGTCACACCTTCCATTTCATTTTATTCCTTTCAGAGCACAGTCTTTTCATTCTAAGAAGGGGTGCAGAGTTATAACTGACCATGGAAACACAGATGTCTCTCAGCAGCCATGATATACCTGTGTTCACCACCCTAGTTTCCAGGGCCTTCAAAGATAAGTTTTATTTTCTTACTTGACCCCACTGGCCTGTTTTTTGTTTGTTTTTAATGTGTATGTTATATGGGTGAAGGTGATCTAGGAGACCAGAAAAGGACATGAGATACCCCAAAATTGGAGTCACAGCTGTTGTGCTCTATCTCTTGTAGGTGCTGGGAACTGAAGTTGTATCCTCTGGAAGAGTAGCAAGTTCTGTTAGTGACCGAGTCATATCTCCAGCCACCCCTGTTTTGAAATGTACAAAGGGAAATGCTGATGCAGCCAGGGGAGAAGGAGAGATGTCCATAATTACTGGCTAAGCTTGATGAGCCGGAGTAAGTACTACTACCTCTTTGCCTTGAATGACTCTGAATGGATAAAAACTCCCTCTGCCCATCTCACAGGGCAGTTACAAAAAAAAAGTAAATACAGGAATGGGAAAGCGGATTTCTGAACAAATGGGAAGTTGCTGTTATTATTTTCAACTATAGAATTTCCTCTGCCGCGTGTTTTTTTTAACCACATGACTATTGCATACCTCACTCCAGACAGCATCCACTGAAGTTCACGCTCATTCATCCTTTGTCTGATGCAGATTCCATCAGCCCTGCTGCATCCATCTCTTTAGTTCATGTTCCTACACTACGTTTCTAAACACAAATCCCACCATACGATGGAATACTGCATGGAGCAACTTGGAAAAACCTCAACACAGCTGTAAAGGTCAAGTACCCTAGCAAAGGTTATATACTCAAAGTACCCAACAAGAAGTCAAAAGGAGAGAGACCTAATCAAATTAGAAAATGCCTCTATTGTGCGTGTGGTGTAATCCCAAGCCTCCGGAAACAATCAGAAGGATTATGAGTTCAAGACCAGCTTAGGCTACATTATAAGACCCTGCTCACCTTCAAAAATAAGTTTCTGGAAGGAACCCATATACAATGTACTTCCAAAGTCAGGGATTCGTCCCATCCTACTCTCAAGCTTTAGAAACAAGATAATATTCTATGGTTCCTAAGAACAAGGCAGAGAGAAAAGAGCATTCCACTATATACTCGGGAGAAAGTGAGACAACTAAAAGATCCATGATAATAAACTCAGGGAGTTTGAACTCTACCCAGTGAGTCGCAGGCCAATGAGACGCAGCTATTTTTTGCATGGCATTTTTTGTAGGACCTTCCCATCAGGAGACTGCATCCAAACACTGTCTCTTGTAACCATGGTGAAGGAATCCTTATTGTGTGTGCTCTTAGTACAGACAAGCCTGAGGTCATTGACTCCAACCTTGTATCTTTAAGCTGTAAACATTTTACAGATGAGGACACTGAGTCTCGAGTCCTGTGCCCTGGGTCACATCTTGTGAAGCCAGCATGTAAGTTTCCCAACACTCTCAAACCAAAACTTTTTTTATCAAGCTCCCTAAACCTCAGCTTGCTTTCCCCTCCTCTTCCCTAAGTAATTAATCCATTAATTTAGTCCTTTCCACACCCACGCCAGCCAGTAAATCCTAGGTCAGGCCTGGTCTGTTCCTGAGCTGGCCTTCACAAGGCAGCACAGAAGGATGCTCACTTGTCCACAATCTTGCCAAGCCTCTGCCACCCACCGCTGTCAGTGATCCCGAGCAGCTCCAAAGCGCCTACCCAGCTCCCCCAAGCCCAGGCTCCACCTGCCCCGCTGCGCACTCGCGAATCTAGCTCCAGACTCTAGGGGAGGACCCAGCGAGACCAGCGCATCGGAAAGAGAGCCAGCTGCTGCCGGGGCTGGGGTCCTGCTTCGGCGTGGCCACCGCGCGCCGCCGGAACTACGCTTCCCAGGCTGCCCCGCTGCAGCCGCGCGCCCCGCGCCGCGCCCGGCCCGGAGCCGCCTGTTGATCGCAGTGCAAGCCCGGGGCCACGGCGCCGCCCCTGTTGGTCGGACCCGAGCACTCGGAGCTCTAAAGGCTGTTGCTCAGCACCTTCTGCTTCGGGATGGATGCAAGCAAGGGTGAGAACCTGGGACGGGAGGGGACTGTCGGGGCAGCCTGTCTGCAGCGCCCGGGTCCGCAGCTCAGCGGCCGCCGCACCCTGCGTGTCCGCGGGAGGATGCTCCATGGCGTGGCACGCGGCCAAGCGCAGCCCGCAGCAGCTTGCACCCGAGTGGCGGGTGCGCGGGGAGGCGGGGATGGCGAGGGGCGGCCGGGGACGCATGTGGGTACCGGCTGCATGGTGCCCTGAAGCCCCGCAGCCCCATAGCACCGCACACGACACGCAGATGCAGAGAGGGCGCGGTCTCCCATCTCCCGGGGCTGCGGAGCTTGGGTTTTCCAGGTTGGGCTTTGTTTCCCATTTTCTCCTCTCCGGCGAACGTGTGATAAGCTCCCGGAGTCTGGAGCATCTCGCGGCCTCATTTGAGCAGGAGCCTGGGAAGGGAGGACTCCGGTCTGCTTCTTTCCTGAGGTCCCCAGAGCTGTCACAGGACGCTTCAGCCTTCACAAAGCCGCCCTTTGCAGGTCCTAGAGAATCTTTTTCCTATTCTTCCTGGTAAAAATCATGCTGGTTTGTGCCTTCCCCGGGGCTTCCTTGCCTTAACCTGTTGACCTGCAAAAAAAAAAACGAAGGTTGGTTTAAAATAGCAATAGTAAAGGTTTGGGGAATTTTTACTTTAAAATGTCAGAAGGTGGGAAGGTGATGAGGCTAAAATGCAAATTGCAATAAAGAGGCCGAGAACGCCACCGCTTCTTCGGCTCCTATTAAATATCTGATTCACCATGCGATTGGGAAAGGAGAAAAAAGAACATCAGAGGAGGTATTACAAAAGCATGGTTTCCGTAGCATCTCCATCGTTGAGGAACTGCGGGATCCTGGGCCAGACTCTTCACCTCTCTGAGCTGCGTTCTCCGTGTAAAATGGGGTATTTGGTGAAATGGTTTCTGGACCTCTTTTCTTGGATACTGAAATGGCAAGAGTGTTTGGCACTTTTACAGAAAGCTGATGAGGACAGAAAGAACAGTCTTCCCGAAGGAAGCTGAAAGATTTTCAGGGCTTAGTTAATCGAGGTTTTTTGTTTGTTTGTTTTTCCCTGATTCCCTCTATCCTCTTCAGCCTTGCTCACTATCACAAAGGTTTTGGATTTTATGTTAACCGTAAATCGGCAGGCCACAGTGTGGTGGTTTTGTTTGCAGGTGCGATCAGCTGATAAAGGTCGGTGGCTCCCTAGGGCTGGGCCTGAGCTGTCAAATGTGCTCCGGGAGAAGGCGGGGGAGGGGTGGGGGACGGGACTCCCGCAAGAAATAACCAGCGAGAATATACAGTGAGGAACGAGAAAATGGTACTGATGGGTTATTGTGTGAAAAGCGAATGTACAATAGAAGGTCTAAGAGAGACACTGTACAAACACTGGCCTAACCCATCAACTGGTACAAAAGCTTTGAGCGAAAGAAGGGTTAGAGCAGGATTTTCGTATTATGTCAGAGTGTCTTACTCAGAACACATCTTTACAATGCAGAGATTAGGAAGTCTCCATCATCCCCCAAAGGTCAAGATGAGCCTCCTGCTGGTGAGCCTCCTGTTCTAATAAAAAGACCATAATTTCACCCACGTAGTATTCCAGACAAGATGATGCAGGGGTAGGGGAACAGCTGTCATAGATGGCAATCCAAGTAACTGTGGATTGGTATATGTGGACTTTGACTCCTGGATGAGAAAATGATAGCTGTAAAAGATCATTTCGGGGTCAGGACATGGTGGTGCCAGCCTTAATGCCAGCAGATAGATGCCTGTGAGTTTGAGGTCAGCCTGGTCTACGTAGTGAGTTCTAGGCCAACTTCAGCAACATATAGTGAGACCCTGTCTCAAACTTGCATCCAAAATAAAGAAATAAGTAGAGATATTTTGATACCTGAATATGGGCTGTATACTAGACAATGTGCAATTACTGTTCTTAGGTGCAGTAATAGTGTGGTAGTATATAAGAGAATGTTCTGTATTTTTTAAATTTTAAATCTTTCAAAAAATACCTTTACTTATTACTTGATACAATGTATCTTGAGCTTATCCATCCCTCCTTAACCCCCAATAGATCCCCTTCCCACCTTCATGCCTTTGGTGGTGGTTGTGGTTGTAGTGGTAATGGTGGTAACTGTGGTAACCTACTAAATCCAAAGTAAAATGGTCTTGTTGGCTTGATGTGAAGATCTTGCCTTAGAAACCACAGCTGCTGTGAGTTCATGAGTGCAACAGCTGTGTCATGTCTAGAGGCCAGCATTTCACTGGACTACTCCCATCCTCTGGCTCTTGGGTTCTTTCCACTCCCTCGTAAGTGATGCTCCCTGAGCTTTGAGGTGGTTGATACAGGGATGAGCACTCCATAGTCCCCTATTCTCAGCACTTTGATCATTTATGAGTCTCTGCATTTTACTACTGCACACTGCTGAAGAATCTTCCCTGGCCAAAGTTGAGAGCAAGCACTAATGTAGGGGCATAGCCACAAGTATTGAGAAGACAGTTTGATGACGTGACCATTTAGAAAAAAAAAAAGTCAGTAGTAGGTTCCCCCTACAATAGGGCCTATAACCTCCCAAGCCAGGGTCTTTTGACCAGGCATGAATTCCCTCCTGTGGAGCAGGCCTCAAATTCAGTCAGAAACTGGTTGGTTGCACCCATAACTTCATGCCACTGTTGTACCGGTGAGTACATCTTGCCTGGCAGGTCCGTGTTGAAGCATTCAGGGTTCACTGGGTGATCCACTGATGACTCTTCTCCCCCAGCATACAAAGCACCCTCTGTGACAGTGAAAGCTTAGGATTTTAGAGGTGAAGCTCACTGACATCTGCAGTACGCTCAGCAGGTTGAGGGAAGAGCCATCCGTGGTGGTAGAGCATGTTCAGGAGCACAGCAGAAAGACAGCAGTGAGAGCCAGTTGAGTCCAGAAGAGCGGTGTGCAGCTGGATTTTGCTCCGCTCTTGTGTAGGATTGAACTTTTTAAATGAGAAATTGAAGGCGAGGTTGGTTTGTTTGTTTGTTTGTTTGTTTGTTTGTTTGTTTTGGTTTTCCAAGTCAGGGTTTCTCTGTGTAGCTTTGCGCCTTTCCTGGAACTCACTCTGTAGCCCAGGCTGGCCTCGAACTCACAGAGCTCCGCCTGCCTCTGCCTCCCAAGTGCTGGGATTAAAGGCGAGTGCCACCACCGCCTGGCGAAGGCGAGTTTTAAAACAATAAGCAACCAAACAGAAAGGCCCATAGAGGGCTGCATGGTAACTGACAGACCGCTGTGGTGAGGCTGAGAGAAAAGTCTTAACTCCATACTCCCAAGCAAGACATAAGTCTTCTCAGAGACGTTCATGGAGTCAGGAAATATTCATTTCTCTTGGTTCTTCTTAGCTACTGTTGATCATTTATGCTTAAGAGATGAATCCCCTAGCTCTAACTCCAAGTGTCATCATATCCTTGGTATCCATGGGAAATTTGTCATAGAAAGCCACCCCCCCATCTGCAGATTTTTAAGTTCTTTTTATAAAATATTGTAGTATTTACATGTGACCAAATGTATTCTCCCCAGATATTTAAAGCCTTTCTAAATTACTTATACTTAATATAGTGTAATTATATAATGTTCTGTGCTGTTTTTATGGAATGACAAGAAAAAGCTATCCACAAATAGAGATTGCTCTAGGAATAAACTCAGTCTTCCTTGGAAAGCCGTCTACCACTCACACATATCTTCAGCCCTCATTGTTTGTTTGTTTGTTTGAATGATTTGACCTGCAACTGATTAAAGTAGCAGATGTGGAGTTCACAGTTATTAGTGGAGCCAACTGTGTTAATAATTACCAATTATTCTTGCCCTATCTAAGAACTACCCTGAAAGAACTGTCCACCCTAGTCATATTGGGGATTGAAGGTGAGGCTCACACATGCTAGGCAAGCACTCTACCACTGAGCCATATCCTCAGCCTTCTTTTGTTTGTTTGTTTGTGTTTTCTATTTGTGGTGATGGTGATGTTTTTTGTTTGTTTGAGGCAGGATTTCTCCGTGTAGCCCTGGCTGTCCTGGAACTAGCTCTGTAGACAACGCTGGCCTCACACTCGGAAGTCTGCCTGCCTCTGCCTCCCGAGGGCTGGGATTAAAGATGCATGTCACTACACCCAGCCTCAGCCTTCTTTCGTTTTTTATTTTGAGTCGGGGTCTCAACAAGTTGTTCAGGCAAGCCTTGAACTCATGATCTTTCTGTCTCAACTTCCCAAGTGGCTGGGTGACTGGCCTGCTCTACCAGGACCAGCTTGTCTTTTTCCTTCCCACATCTGAGGTCTGTGTCAGTATGTAAGGGAATCTGAGAAAGTAGGTTCTAGCTAGGATTAAAGGGTAGTTCATTTTCCCCTCCACATCTGAGGTCTGTGGCAGTATGTAAGGAAGTTTGAGAACATATACTAGTATCAAATGGTCGTTCGTTTTACTCTGGTTGAGAAAACGCTAGTGAAATAACTGGTCTAGTGTCTGACAGAACATAGATAATGAAATTCCCTCTTAGTCCTTTTGTGTGTCAATCACATGAGACCTTGTGTAAAAAAAAAAAAAAAAAAAAAAAAAAAAAAAAAAAACCTTCTCTATATCTTGTTCAGAGAAATTTCTAGAAGGCATGTGCAGAAGCCTTCCTACTACAGAATAAAAGAACAGAGTCAACTCTCATCAGGTGTGATGGCTCATGCCCCTTAATCCTAGCACTCAGGAGGCAGAGTTAGGAGGCTCATCAAAAGTTCCAGGCTAGCCTGCTTCACATCATGAGTGAGTTCCAGGCTAGCCTGGTCTACAGAGTGAGTTCCAGCCCAGTGAAGGCTACAGGGTGAGACCCTATGTAAACATAAATAAATAAATAAATAAATAAATAAATAAATAAATAAATAAATAAATAAATAAGATACTGCATTTAATCTCTGATGCAGACCCCTTTTGTTCCAGGTTAATTTTTCTATAACTAGGTGTCGCGTGTATGAAAATGGCCATTTAAAGCATTCACATTTACTCAGATATGTGTCTGTAGTGATATACGTGTGTGTGTTCTCTGATTCTCTCAGCTGTTCTGCTTCTAAACGTTTAGAAAGTTATTGGTGTTAAAAGAAAAAAAAAACAACTACCTAATCAGATCCAGGAAAGCTGGTTTGTTCTTTGTGGTCAGAGCTTTTCATGGGTTACAGTTCTTGGATCTGTAGAATATTGTATACAATGTTTTCCAAGCTATGTGCAAAATATTATACATTATAATGTATATAATATATGTGTTTCATATACTATATATACCCTATATATACACATATATATGGACATTTTGAAAAACTATCTAGCATTGACTGGAATCAACTTTTGGAAATCCTACCTTCAGTGTATTATTGAGTGAGTGGCTAGAGCACCCTCATAAGGATGTAGATCATAAATATTGTCATTTGTGTTTCTCATTGCCTGGCAGGTTAGAATTCAAATTTCAGATTCTAGTTTTCGTGGACCATTTAACCCCAGTCTA